GAATGTGTTCTTATATAAATGGTACTTTATTTCCTAAAATCAGGCCTGGGTGTTCTTAATCCACTTGTTCTTATACGCGGGTTTTTACTGTATTTGAATCGAAGAATCAAATCAATACTGGTCATCACGTTTCAAGCTTGGTACTTGAGAGGAGTAATATGAATTAAAGACGCGTTACAAACATAATGTCCTTTCATTTGAGTTATTTCTTTGATGTTGGTTTTCATTCCATAATTTTTTTTGATAGAAATACCATATTTTAGTTTTGAAAATACAAAATATCATAAATATTTTTTTAAATTTTCTTATCATAATTGAATGTACTATAACAGAAAATATTTAAAAAAGTTAACAATATATTGTTCAAAACAGATTTCGTTCGTTATTTCGTCACAAGTTTATTCCTTGTTTAGCTGTTTTCTCCTCAATTTGTTTTGTCATTTTAGCTCAATTTCTTTTATTTAGATGTTCAACTCATCAAGAAACCGAATGCAGCAGTGAGTTTCATCAGAAAAGAATCGAACAGTTACTGTTATAACCAAGACGGATCCCTTGATATAGCAAAGCTATCACCGACATCAGACACAGATACAACTGCTACTTCAAAGACGATATCCACCTACATCACACATTCTATAACTTCATATTCAAAATCAGTTTCTACCCATACGCCAAAACTATCACCGTCCCTTATCCCAAATGCAAATTCTACTTTAGATACAATATCAACCCACTCTATACAAGAATACACAAACGAAATTACAATCACTCCAGCCTTTGTTTCACCATCGACGCCTTCTAAGGTATTCATTCTATCTGCTACCTACCCAGGCGTTAGGCCAACGATTGTCACAGCTAAAGGAATCAAAATGGTAGGCAAGACCTGTCCTAATATAATACTCTTTTAATAATGCAATTTCATCGTTTTATCTTGCTTTGCTTTCAGATTGAAGAGTTTCACCAGTTTCTGCATTCGCACGATTAAGAGATCCAACACTGGATGAAGGGATCCACCGCTCACATCATGCAACATTTAGGAATTGATTATTGAAAGAAAAAACAATCTTACGCCAAGATTTTTAAAGCAAGTAAAATTCAAGATAAGAATGATGGTCGTAGCTTCATAAGTTTCTCACGACTTTCAAAAATGGCGCGATATGTTACGGTCGCTGACCAGGGCACTGGGGACGAAGCACTAAAACGAGGTCTCARAGGCCAGCCTCCGTATATTAAACTTCGATGGTGCCTTGGAAGAGTGTTTTGTTATAAATAACATACCAATASATYTTTCAAACTTTTGGACMCCTCCCATATGCGATCTTTGTAGTGATTTTAAAATGTAAGGCCTTTGAAGTCTCGGTTTCATGGTTCGTCATTAGTCCCCCYATATTGGCGGTGGTGAACTACCRCGATTTTTGAAAGTCGTGTAAGAAGGAGGCTTAAAATGAACGTTTTAGCCCGTAGGGAAACCAGGATTATATACTGGCTCTTACATGTAACTGTATTACTCCAAGATTTGGCATCGAAGTCAATTGATAACTTTGGGTGAGAAAAATACTTAAAAAATTGTTAAGAAATGTTCACGACTGCCACAAAACTCAAAAAGACGACCGCTGTACATTTTCAACTCTAATGAATATAGAGCGGATTTCGTATGAGTGGGACACCGTTACCGCACGGTTACMGCACAGTTACCGGACCTGGCCTTCACAATTTTGGTGAACCAATGGTGCACTAGAATTTGGTTGCAGTACGATTACGGTCACAGTACAGTACCGTCCGTTTCCCACTCATACGARATCCGCTCTACCACCATCTAGACRGACCGTTAGCTGAGGTTTTGAGGAAATATATAWGGATGATATTTGTCCAAAAGAATCGAATTTAAGATAAGGAAAGTGGAAATATTACATGCATTACWTAAATTAACCATTGTTTATCTTTCTAAATGTTTCTGGTAAGTTGAAACGGAGTCTATACGCTAATTGAATATTTGCTAAAAAAAAGATTTTTATTTTAAAGTTGTTTATCTTAAGTGCACAGTAAATGATTCCTTAAGAGTTTCTGCCATAGTTCCGTTAACAGTATGACGATRAAGAGCCTATTTCAGTTTTCTTATAA